CATTCTGTGATTCTATGAATACTCTCAAAAATCTGGTGTTATCTCAAGATGGACTTCCCAAATCAGATGTTGCTAATTTGAGTGCCTCTGGCTCGAGTTTTCTTTATTTTGGTTTCTTTTTGGTGTGGTGGATTTGGGGTTTTTTAAGATTTAAAAATACGCAGATTAGTGCTTATACCTTCAGACACTAAAGCAGTGATTTTTTTTTTTCCATTGATCATGTGTGAAGATTTAGTAAGGCTCATGAAACATTTGGTTATTTTGCAAAGAATCTCATAGCAAAAACTTACGAGGTATTTCAGTTTTCTGACCTGTGTTTATGTGCAGTAAAGGAAGTTTGTATCTCTCTGTTGAACAACACAGAAAATAAAAAAAACAATCTCTAGCTGCTCAGTAAGTGCTCTGAATGAACCAAGTCTAGTAGAACAGGAAATAAACAGTAGATGCACGTTTAAACTGGTAAAATTCACATGGTATGTATGGATAAGTTTGTCCTTATAATCATAAATTGCTAGTCTTAATTCTACTGTCTCTGAATTTCTGGAATGGTTTACTTTGTATTGTTAACTGTAAAACCCTTTTAAAGTGGTGTGCTGTATAATACAGCTTGTGTACATGAGAAACCATTTTGTCCTTTCTGACAGCCTGTTCTTTGAGATCCGTACACTGTTTACTCATGTGCCAAGTGTATATTTACACAAGGAGGATATAAATAGACACCTATTGTTATCTAAATTCATACATGAAAATGTTTCTTGGATTCTAAGTGGAATAATAGGAAGTAGAAGATGCTCTTCTGGACAGTTGATCTCAGTGCTGTACAAGTTCTGTAGTTCCAGTAAAATGCGTCTGAAATTATCTGTCTCTAAATAGTCTTTAGTCATTAAAAAGCACTGCTTCTATATTTCAGTTCAATGATGCCCTGTTGTATACTACTCCAGTTCAGTCAGGGATGTATAAACTCAACAACATGCTGTCGCTGGCCGGAATGAAGGTGAGTTACTTGTTAGAATGAGTCTTTCCCCACATCTGTTTAAACTCAGGCCTTCAAATTTTCAAAATACTGCTATTTGCATCGTTGGATAAAGATACTTATGCTACAGGGGAATCCTACAGGCTTAACGTTTCTTGCATAGTATGATCTCTGGGATTGCCATCTAGGTTTCCCTAAAAACATCAGTTGCCACAGGATCATCTCCCCCACATTTCATCCAGTAATGGTCTACGCTGAAATAAGGCTGCCTACTTTTTTTGTTTTGTATTGTAGTTTTTTTAGACTGCCTAACTTTTGCCTTGTAACTGCTTTTCATTGCCCACACCCAGAGATTAGGCATCTCTAACCTGATAAGCTTCTGGTGGATCAAATCTCCATGGTTTATAGAGCTCTGCTAACTGTGAGGGAAGATACGGCTTTTGTTTCTGAGCCTTTGTGAAAAGCATCACAGTTAAGCCCTGACCCCTCTGGGTAATGATGAAGGACATGCACGCCCTATATTGACACTGTCTCTGAGATGGCAGTTAGTGGGAACAACAAACCATCACCTTGGGAATCGAGTAACTTGGCTCTGCTCCTGCCAGAGAAAAGCACCAAGTCCAGCTGCAGTGCAGATCCGGCGGCCAGGTCCAAGCTTTCACAGGCAGAGCTGCAAAATCTCTCTGCCAGCAGATGTCCCATGGTGGCTCAAAGGCGCTCGTGGCTTCAGTAAACTCAGTTACGTTTGAAACCTGGTAGCTGAGAAGAAGCAGCAGGGTGAGCCCTCAGCCCTGGGGCAGTGGGGCAGATGCCCACTCCGGGGTGCACCAGTAGGCTACAACTTGTCCTGCAGCAGCAGCAGAGCCTTTTTTTGCCCAGTTGCAGGAGGTGCTTAGAGGGCAGTGGGCACATTGAAGGCACATTGAAGCACAGAGGGAGGTGTCTGACAGGTCTTGAGCTTCACCCTCCCTAGTCTCCAGCATTTGCATGGGGCCACAACGAAATACCACGGTGCGCTGCATGTAGTCTTACTGTAGCTGGTGTATGATGTCCTACTTCTGAGATTTTTCTCTCTTCTGCAATAAAAATGTGGAGATTTTACACTAAGTAAAACTAAAGCAACTCTAAAAGCAGCACTTCAGTTTCAGTGTAGTTTTCTCTCTCAATTGAAGGTTAAAAAGCCAACCCAGGAAGCGTATCAGAACGAACTGAACATTGAAAGCGTAGAGAGATCCTTCATTCTTTCAGCAAGGTAAGTTTTACAAATGAATAATGGTTTAAAACCCAGCTGATTTCAAACAGGCCATGTTAGCTTTTTATAGCTTATTTTCCTCTTGTGTAATGAATAAGTTACCTATGGCTAGAATAATTACAGAGTAAGGGGAATGACAGATGGGTTTCTGGAAATAAGGTAGGCTTTGTTCGAATTCACTTGTGTTTACATTCAGAAACTGAATTTGAAAGTTTATTTTTAAATGGACTGTCAGAAAGGAAGCCTAGTCATGTGTATTAAGTTTCACAGATATGATATGAATTTGTAGTCTCTAGTAGTAAGGAAGGCCGCCCATTGTAAAGTGGTGGATAGAAGCACAAAAGCTGTACTAAATGTGGCTGGTATTTGAGCTACTGGGGCTTAAGGCTGCAGCTGGTAGGGATTCTGCTGTCCTCAAGACAATTAAAACTCTTGCTTGGTTCCTCCTTTTCAGCTTAGCTACACCTTCAGAAATTTTAAGTAAATTGAAATATTATCCTCTCACTGCCTTTCCTTGAGAGGAACAAGAATTAATTTTAGGCTTCGGTTTTCTTTTTTTTTTTTGTTCTTTCAAGGTCAATGATATGCTCTGTCAGGGCATGAACAGGACAGGATATGAAGCATGAGAATGCATTTTGCTATTATTATTGGTAACTTACATAAATCGGAAGAAGTCATTCTGGTCTTCCAGTTAAAGTAACAGTGTAATTGAAATGAGTCTCAGTGAACCTGAAATTATGGAAATGGCAGGAATTGCTGGAACGGTGCTTGTCTTTACCAGAAAGCCAAATTCTCCATGTAACAGCAAAAGGATACGTGGCCACTAGAGCAGAGCAGTTCTGCATTGCCTTCCCCAAGATGCCTTTAGCAAAGACCTGATTTTGTGGATTGTTGGTTTTACTGTGTTTGAGCTGGAGTTATATATGTTCTGACATTTGTGACAGTGCTGATACCAATGAAGACAGACATGTTTTCTCTTTTGTTTAGCAAAGCTGAGCAAGAGCAGACTGCTGCTTTTTGTGTGACCTTGTAAATACCAACATGAGGATGGCCGCACAAGGATAGCGGTATCTCTAGCTGAGGGGTAGACTGAGGTTAACCTTGTCAGAGCAGCCAAAGGAAGTAGCCCTATTGTCTGAGCAGTAGTTATTTGTAACAAGAGACTTGAAAGGAGTATTTATGTATTTTTTCAACAAATGTAAGTTTCTTACGGGTTTTTTTTGCACATTGGGGGGAAAAAAAAATGCATTTCACAGTTTAAGGTATGATTCTGCTCCAATATAATATGAGCAGGTCCGTGCCGCTTGGGTGCCCTGGTGGCTGCACGTCACACAGACACATGAAGGCATTCATGGGATTGCAGTAGGCAGTGAGAATTCATCTCCGCCTGACTTGAAATAGCATTTCACTTTTAATTCACTAGTTTTAAAATATTGCAAAATATTATTGGAACTTGTGAGAATATTATCATCTGGAAATACAACCTACCTGTTTTCCACAAAACAGGACAGGCTTGTCTTTTTGAGGAACCGATCAAGTGGCAGATTAAAAGCAACTCCCTGTGAAATACATCCTGGTCCATAGGGAAAAAACCCTGTGTGTAACATTCGCTTCAAACTGGACAGTTTGTGGCGTGCTTATGTCCTGACCTTGAAATTACTGCAATTGCCCCCACGTTACCAACTAAAGCTGCTCTGATTTGCTCTTTCTTTTTTAGTGTCATTGCATCTTTGGAGAACGTTCCGCTCTGTTATTGTTATACTCACTGGTAGCTAGTGTGTGTGTAAGACCTTAAGTTACACACTGTGACAGAGAGGTTGCATTTGCTTGGGATGAAGGAGGTGCTGGGGGCCCCAGGTGTAAATGAGCATTTTCAGACCATTATCTGTCTGTGAGGCCTGGGTCTGTTGCAATGTGTGTAGGAGGGAAACAACAAGGAACTACCAGCAGTAGGTGCTTGCATATATTTTTTTCCCAATTAATGATATTGTTCTAATTGATAAATATACTGGGTGTGAAGAAAATCAGTATCTTGTCAATACAGACTGCATCTTCCTTTTGATGATACCTCATTCTAACCGCTTCTTGGCTCCTATGTGTTAAAAATATCAATTACAAAACTGTTCAAATGAATCTTGCAGACACTGGAAACAAATTTCACATCTGTCTTTTTTCAAATAGTAAGCAGTGTGTGGAGTGTACACCAAAGAAGAGATTCTCCTGGGGGTGGAGACAGGGAGGAGTGCAATTAAACTGGTGAAAAATTGCTAGTGATAACTTGCAGAACTGTAGGTTAATGCCTAGACTAGAGTGTGTGTCACTTCAGGTTTGGTTTTACTGTCTGAATTAGTACTCTGTTGTGTCTAGTCTAGGTTGAGGTTCCAGTTTTCCTGGGAGATCTGTAGGCATGTGTATTGTTTTACATGGTACAATGCAGTATTGTACCAGAAATCTCTGAACTGGAGAAACAAGTTAGTGCATCTGCACGACACAGCACTGTGCAGAAGTAAAGCTTTGGTCCTGAAAGCAACAGCCCTGCCAGCCTGACGCCGTCTGTGGCCAGCTGGCCCCCAGCCCCCTCAGTAAGGCGAGGTAAGGATAGCTCATGCAAGACTAGCTCAGCTGGAAGAGGTGTCCTGAAGCTCTGATCCTAGAGCCAACGGGGGCATGTAAGCCCTCCTGGGACAACCCAGCTGCTTGCTCCAGTAGGCACCTGCCACGTGTGGTCCTACCTCGTGTTTGGCGGTAGTAACAATTGCTGGGGCTCTCTGCAGTCCATTGAAATTCTTCTACTGTTTTGTTAAACCTTAAACAAAGAAATAAATAAATATTTTTAACAACCCTAAGAAAATACTGTGATTTTGATATAAGAATGTTGTTTGGAAGGATGCAACAAATAACTGGACCTGCAGCAAGAGAAGTGGTAGGGCTGTGCAGCTGGTGGGGGGAGGGCTGGGAATGACAGCAGAAGAAACTGCCTATTTTGCTGCAGCAAACCATTACATCAGTTCGGTTGCCGATGGCACCGCCTTTGCTCTTAAGTTCTGAAGGATTGTAAAGAACCCCAAAGGCTAGCACGAGCAAACCTGCCAAGTGCGAGCTCCCGAGTGAAATGTGAGGGCGTAAGCCATGTAGCTCATTGTGCAAGCAGCCCCAGGTGATCTCAAGGGATGCTTAATTTCCAGAAACTGTGCCAACTTTAAATTGAATTATTTAATACAGTTTTGGGAACCAAATTAAAGGTAACCAGGTTTTGAAAAAGCCGAAGGAGTTGATTAGTGTTCTGAATGTTAACGTAGCTAACGCAGACCAGTTGCTCTTACTGGATGAGGAAGCAAAAGTAAATCAACTGAACAAAATGTTCCACTCAAAGAGTGTGAGATATTGGGACAGACAATAATACATTGCTTTGCCCTTGCTTGCATCTTATTTCCTCTCCTTTTGTTGCTGTGTGTGCTAGATCGTTTTTTCCCCTTGACAGGCTTCCCCTATGTCTACCTTACCAGATCTGCCCTCTCTGATTCGGTACAGGATTCAGTTTCATCCAGTTAAAAAACCCCATCTTAAAGTATTTTCCTTAAAGGTTCAAAGATGATCACAGTTCCCAAATTCACCTACAAAAGCCATTATATGATGATTGGCGTTGCACACTCGATTTGTGTAAATCATTGCTTTCCTCTTCTCTAACTTTCCGTTTTATATATTCATCGTGTTCAATTCCTTGGTTTAGAAAAATGAATTTATTCGATACTATTTAAGAAGTGGGGAATAAAAAAAATGTTGGTAGTAGTTACTGGCTTAAATTCGGAAGCCATTTTTTAAGCTGGCATGGCACCCTAACCAAGTGGTCTAGCTGTTCCTCTGCCATAAAACTGCTCCTTCCTCCCGCAGAGCACCCTCCATGGTGCTGGCTCAAGTAGCTGTTCAGCTGCGTGATGTGCCCAGTCGGTAAATGGATACAGACAGAGGACGGGCAGGTTGACAGAGATCTGTTACCCAGGCCAGCCCGCTGCACTCACAGGCTGCAGCGTAGCTGCCTGTGTTCGGGCACAAGGGAGAAAATCAGAGCTAGTGGCGGAGAGGGCGTTCAGTAGGCTGCCCTGTGCAGCACCAGCAGCGTGGATGTGTGTTGTATGCAGTGGTGGTGTGCCCACGGCCAGAGGAAGGGCTTTGGCACTGCACGTAATCCAATATAGCTGTGGGTGCCTGCTGTGCCAGGCACTCCTTGTTTTCCCTGCTCCCCGTGCCATGCCGCTTCATCCTGATGTGTTCCTTGCACTTGATAGTGACCCACCAGCTGTGGGATAAAGAGATACAGTAAGCTCATCTGTTTATCTCTGTGGGTTAGCTCATCCAATGGAAAAATTTGGAGGGGTAAGGGAGGGAAAAGTCGTATTTCAAAGCAGCATGACCTGGTAGGAGCACACGGCTGAGGAAGAGAGAGCACGTTTTTCTGACAGAAGTTGGGGGTTTCACAGGGTTGGGTATAACAAACTGCACCCTGAGACAGAAGGAAGTGGGGAAAAAAGGCTTGCTGAGTCCCTCTGGAGGGGGAGGGCCCATGCCTTTCTTCTGGGGGCACCGCTTACACCACTGTTAGTGTTACTCAGGCTGTTCAAGGGGGAAGGGGGAAGCAGTGACATGCAAGCCTTGAAACAATCACAGGGTATTTTGGGAGGAGGAAAGGGAAGGAAGGCATCCACGTTATAACAACAGACACAGAATTCTTTTTTTAGTACTAATCAACACAGATAACTGACACCATGCGGATAGTTAAAAAAAAGCCAGTTTCTAGAGACTGTCTACGAAACTGAAATTGCAAGAGAGTTAAATCAGTGTGTAATAAAGCTCATGGAATTCTAAATGACACTTGCTGCTTAGTTTTAAAACTTAATAATAAATTGTCTTTCTTTTTTTCTCCCAACAGTTCTGCTACAGAAAGAGATGAATGGTTAGAAGCCATCTCCAAGTCAATTGAAGAATATACAAAAAAGAGAATCACGTTTAATCCTAGCAAAAGTCTTGAAGAGGTATATCACACCACTACTACTGTTTTGCTATCGTTTTGAATATGAAGTTTCTTTGCAAGTATTTGGAGAAACAAGAGGCGTTCCATGATGAATAATAAACCAACATGGTAAATGATGAGTGAACAGATGATAGAAGAGAATGGTATTTAATAAGTTGTCTACTTCATAGATTTAAAATTATTTCCTTCCAAAAACCCAAAACCAGCTTTCTCAGTTCTCTCAGTAATCCTGCAAACAGAAAGATGAAATTAATGGATTTTTAACTATAGCAGCTTTTGATACCAATAGACTGGTAAAGCTTGAAAGGCACGCAGCCTTCCTGAACTAATTAAATGCAGCCTGTCTTCAGGCTTGCATTATTAAGGGTCACTGGTGAAATAGCAGATAAGATTTTGAGACCATGATAATTTATCAGAGAGGCTTTCTGACATAATTAGAGTTAATCTATAATCACTGATAAATATTAATCTTTCTCATCACTGAATGTGATGGTATTCTGCCTATGTTCTCTCAGGCAGATCCAGAGAAACAGGAAGAAGATAGTCCTCTGGGATCAAAGGCTCCGATCTGGATCCCTGATACTAGAGCCACTATGTGTATGATCTGTACAAGTGAATTCACCTTGACATGGAGAAGGCACCACTGCAGGGCATGCGGAAAGGTTGTGCAATTTTGTGATTACCTGTTCTGTTAGTCGTTTGCGTGACAAATACAGATGAAGCCTGATTGCACCACGATAACTCTTCTAAAGGAACAGTGTACACTGACACAATTATATGGATTAACAACATCATGTTGGGGGTTGGATTTTTTTGTTTTTTAGAGTAAGGTGTGATGACAGAACAGCATTCAGCCTTTTAACCTGTTCCACGTTTCTTATTTTGCATTTGGAGTACTGGTTATGGTTGTCTTCTGCTTCTGCAATTAAGTAGTACAAACGAAGAGCGATAGCTAAAACGAGAAAATATTTTCCTCACTAATTTTTGTAAGATAAATAATGATTTTATTTTTAGCGTAGTACAAAAGTTATTTTATATTTAACACTTATGAAAGATATATCTAATAAACCTTTCTTTTTCTTGTTTTAATCAAGTGAGAATACAGAATTCAGTGCAGTTGAGACACCCATGTTGCTGAGAAATTGTCAAGAGAGCAATGACTATTTTTAGTTATTTCTTTAGAAGCTTATGATTTAAACAGTTCAATAACACAGCAGGCTTATTCTAGTGTTCATGGATTGTGAACATTGGCTTATTGACTTGTGTAATTCAGTGCTTTTTTTTAATTTAAGTTTTTAACATTTTGAGGAGGGAAGAGCAGCATGTTGAGCATAAGGAAAAGCCAAGATCTCAAACCATTTTCAGTGTAAAATAGGGTCTATTTCCAGTTCTCTTTGGGCTTAACAGTATTGTAGTGAATGTCTTTGAGCATTTGGCGATTTACAGGTGCACATTGTGTACAGTAATGCTTTTATCTGTTTCCAGATTGTCTGTCAGGCTTGTTCATCAAATAAACATGGCTTAGACTATATGAAAAACCAGCCAGCAAGGGTATGTGATCATTGCTTCAGGGAGCTACAGAAACAAGGTAAAGAAAACCTACACAAACTGCGTGTCTTACTTTTGTGGCCCTGTCTGTGCCTCATCTTTACTGCTTGCTTGGAGTACCTAATTCTGCTGGTGCCTGAAAAGTGGTTGGCATCTGAGGTTGTAAGAGCCCACACAAGTCTCTGTAGAGAGAGCTAGGAAAGTGAATTTGCAATACACTGGCTCTTCCTTCCAGAAACATGGAATGATTCTGGAATTCCCTGCAATAATGACATGTAGCTTATGCCGTTTTCTTTTTGAGGTAACTGGTGTTGCATTGTTTTTCATTAATCACAGGGTACAAGTGTACATCAAAGTCCTTGCAGCTTAGCATGACCTCCCAGTGGGTTCATGTGAACTTTTACTCCCTGTAACTTGTACGCTTGTAAACTTCATTTTTGCCAGCTAAGCTGCCGAGACAGCTGAAGTTCTGGGGCTCTGTAAAGCTGCAGGCCTTCATCTTAGTGAAGCTGAGTCTCTTCAGCCTCAAGCCTCGGCTCATCTGGAATTTAAGCAGTTGATATATCTGCACCTCAGTTCTGAGGGCAAACTCTTAATCGTTGCCTACTGCACACTGGCGACATGGATTTCAGTGTAAAGCACCACAGCTAGAGCTGTTCTCATTGACACTCTCGGAGAACGTGGTTCTGTTGATGCCTGCTGGCAAGCAAGGGTTAGATAGGTGGTTAGTAACTGTTGCTTAGAGAGGGCGTTCAGGGTCAGTTTTCTGATAGAGAACTCGGATCCATCTCTTTGAAGGACCTTCATGTAATTATGTAGAAACAAATATACAAATCAATGGAGGCATCTCCCAGTGAGGTGGGAATCCAGTTCTGTCTCACAAGACTTGCTCTGTATTCTGCCAAGGACTCCAGCATGAAGTACGCAAGCGGGCCGTAAGCAGGGGCTGAAACCATTTGCTGCCCTTCCTCCTGGCAGAGGCTCCAGTTCAACACAAGCTCTGTAGGGTATCAGGAAATCTGCGGTGCCCCAGTGGAAAAGTCAAGCTACAGTTTCCAGCCTGCTGGGGGTGACATTTGTCATGGAGATGTGGAAAGCAGCTTGGACAACCCTTGAAGTGGTGGTGGGAGCCTGCTGTGATAGAGCAGGCAGAATGCCTGGCCTACCTGCAGGTCTGTGTGCTGGGCACTAGAGGCTGCTGTGCTGCAGGCGATTGCAGGGAATGTAGCTGGGAAAAGCTGCAGAGGTACAGTACAGCTGGCAATCCAATTGCTCTCCTGCTCTGCTCATTGTTTCAGAGCCTCACCACGTTCAGAGACAACTCTAGAAAGTAGACTCAATGAGGGAACTCTTTCCAGGCTGAGCTGTAAAATAGTAGTGGGTGTTGCTTGAAAAGGGAGTTTTAAAGGAGTAAGGTGTTGCACAAGTCTTCCAAGAGAGATAAAGGAACTGCCTGTGGCAGTGGAGAAAGACAGCACATTCTCAGGAAATGGGAATCTCCAGAAGTGGGTGTGTGCTGGCATGCTGCTGAAGAGGAGCTCTACAGCATCCCTCCTGAAAAAAGCTGGGAAGATAACATGTAGAGAATTGAAGGACGGAGGGCTGGGGAACAGGTACAGCACTGACTGGACTGCAGAGGACATCTCTAAGAACTTGGTGTGGCTTTTAAGAGTTGAATTTTCACCCTGTGTATGAGCAAAGGTAGTTCAACTGCAAAAAACAGTGAAAACAAACCAGACCAGTCTGTTTAGCTGTAAATTTCTTGTGTTTTTTTTAGCCTGATTGATTTGGGAGATTCTAAGTCATGGTGTTGATGATAATACCATGACAAGTTAATTCAACACTGAATTTAATGTGGCTGGGTGTGAATCTGAAGTACTGTAATCAGAATGAAAATATCAGCTGCTTTCTAGAAGAGAGGTCCAAGAAGGTCTGTGTTTAGTTACCTGTGACATGAAAGCAATAGATTCTTCCTATGCATTTTAGATAACCAGTGCACTCCGAAGAGCGGGTCCCCAGTCAACCATAAATCTCCATCCAGTGCCTTGTCTACAGTCTTACATAGTATTCCCTCTGGAAGGAAGCAGAAAAAGATTCCTGCAGCCCTCAAAGAAGTAAGTGCTTTATTGGTCAAAAGTAATGCCTTGTTGGTATCATATCATCAATATTAACAATGAAAAAAAATCCCTATCTTGTCCATCTTCTCTAGGATCAGAAGTCAAAGTTCACCTGTAACAGTGGTTTGGGCCTTAGTCTGACACAGGCAGAGACTTGAACTGTGAAGCAGTGTATAAACTGCATAAACTCTGAGATTGTGATGCAGAGATAGTCGGAACTGTAATTTCTTCCCTGTGTTTCAAGGACTTGTGATTTACTTCTGCCCCAGCAGTCAGTGAGAAGAATCCTACGTCAGCTCAGCCCTTGGCTTATGATTAGGAAAGGTAGAACTAAATTCTGCCTGCCTACACTGGAAGTCTTGGGAAGTGGGAGGAAGTAGTTCTTCTTCTTATATAGGAATGTGTGTCCTCCAGCTGAACATGGTCCTCAGTGTTTCAGCTCTCTCTTGTCCTGTTGTATCCAATTTAAGTTCCAGTCCCTAGTGGTGGCAGAAAACTCTCTTCCAGACCAGATAGATGGTGGCAGACAGATTAATTTTTCTTTCAGCCATCTGAGTTAATTAGCAACATTGAGTTGAGATCAGGTAACATTTTGAGTCTTTGACAGGACAGGTTTCTGGAGATCCATTTTAATAAAGCTGTACTGCAAAAGCCTGGACTGATGCGTAACTCTTGGGTGTTGGGTTATTTTTCACCTCAGGTTTCAGCAAATACAGAAGACTCTACGATGAGTGGCTACCTACACAGATCTAAGGGTAGTAAGAAACCATGGAAACACCTATGGTTTGTTATAAAAAATAAGGTGCTATACACTTATGCCGCTAGTGAGGTAAGAGCATACGCATTAGAAGTCAAATATCCAATGGTGGTACTGTATCTGTAATAAAATTGTTAATTTTTATGACCTAGAAACAAGCTATAAAATTAGATCTCCTTACAGTAACGGATCTGATTGTGATGTAGTGTTTTGAAAAGGCCCAGTGAGCTTGGTACCGTAATATGCTGATAGAGCTATGCTCTTTCTGATTCCAGACCTAGCTTTGAGTGTCTGCACTGCACACCATTGCTCAGTTGTAGGTATGTTCTGAGTCAGTCGAATACATGGGGGTCTCTTTAGAGGCATCACACTGGAGTAGTGGCAAAGCCAACATGATGAAAGCATCTTGAAGTGTTTTGTTCTGCAGTTCCATAAGGTATTTCGAATGCTTGGAAAATGAGCAAACTGAATCTCTTGACTTCTCCTCAAACTGTCATCTTCAGCCTGGAGTTATTACTTAATATACAGTGCTGCAGTAAAAAATAAATGCATCTTGTCAAATGGCATTTGCTTCTTAATTTAGGATATCTAGTCCTACTGCAGTGTGGAATAATCTCTAACCAATATATCTAAGCTCTGCACATCCCAGTGTATGCTGATGTAGTTTTATTGCGTCTTATGTTTTGCAACATACATGGATGTATTCTAGCACTGGAAGATAGCGGGTTTTGCTTTTTTGTATTACATGTTATAACTTGCTGATAGCTTGCAAGAGCAAAATATCCAGAACACCTGTTTAAAGGTGTTGGAATCCCCCACTTCATTTCAAAATGTAAGCCCAGCCTATCCTGACTGTGTAAAGAATTACGATTCTTCACAGGGTATTTCCTGAGTTGTGCTCAGGGTTGTTCCTGCTGTAGTGCCAACCTTTATTTTAGCACTTATGAATTATGTCCAGAAGCTGAGATGTTACTTCCACCACAGGTTTGGCAATGGTAAAAAAAAAAAAAAACAGCAAACAAACAAACAAAAAAACCCACACCCATGAAAAAACCCAAACAACATGGAATTCTAAAAGATCTTTAATTATGTACAGAACAAACTTCTGCAAAGATCTGAAAATATTTCAGAGCATTGTGTCTCTTCTGGCAGTTGCAAAGGAGATTTTTCAACTATAAAGTCAGACGTTTTAGTCTGACAGTCACCTTATTTTCTTTTGCTTGGCTTCCTCTGAGATACCAGCCTTCCCGAGTGGCTTCAGTCTGCACTCGCAATCACACAATTAACTCTTTCCTGTTTTCTTTGAACTAAGGAAGCCTACAAGGAAGCTGGGGGCGAGGGTGGAGCACTTTTTACCATTGCCTGTAGTGACAGGACAAGGGGTAACGGGTTTAAATTGAAAGTGGGGAGGTTTAGATTAGATATCAGGAAGAAGTTCTTCCCGGAGAGGGTGGTGAGGCACTGGAACAGGTTGCCCAGAGAAGCTGTGGATGCCCCATCCCTGGAAGTGTTCAAGGCCAGGCTGGACGAGGCTTTGAGCAACCTGGTCTAGTGGAAGGTGTCCCTGCCCATGGCAGGGGGGTTGGAACTGGATGGGACAGGCCGGAGGAGCCTTGGAGCATGCTGGTCTAGTGGGAGGTGTCCCTGCCCATGGCATGGGGGTTGGAACTGGACGGTCTTTAAGGTCCCTTCCAACCCAAACCATTCTATGATTCTAAGGAATAGCTGGCCTTATTTTTCATCTTGGTGAGCCATCTCGTGGGAGACCTTGTTTGGAGAGTCTCGAGGGAAAGTTGTAGCGGCTGGTCCAATGTGGCCTTATAAAACACCGCTGTGATATGAATATTAGTGGTATGAAGACCTAAGGTAGTAAAACAGATTGCTAAGCCTTACTTGACTCTTTTCCAAGATCAAGAAATGCTGCTCTCACAGGATACTTCTGTTTCAGTGTAGAGGCAACTACCAAAGTCTTCACATGATATGTCAGTGTTTCTGGACATTCTTTGTTTATTTTCTTTATCCAGAATTATTGCAGGATCTGCCTAGTTACAAAACATCCTTTTGGAATTTGCAGAGGGTAAAAATACTTTTTTTTTTTTCCCCCCCTCTTTCCAAAAATTCTGTGCATTGTATTAATTAATTAAAAGAAAATGTAAAAGAAGGAAGTAATTTAAATGAATGAGGAAGGGAAAAGGTTGCCATTTTAGCCAAGTTTTGAAATTAAGTGGAGGTAAACAGGTCTAGCTTCTCCTGCTGCTCTCTCCTGGCCAACCACTTAGGAATGCTCAGCAGCTATCTCCACCCCTCCTGCTGATTTTCAGCAACAGAAAGCAAAATAAATTCAGCCATCACATGCATTTGAAGTGCGACTCCAGTGCTTTTGAGAATATGGGCTATATCCCTAGCTCCTCCTCTTGGCATGCTCCCTGCAGCTGATGGCATCCCATACTGCTCCTGAGACAACGGAACCTTACGGCCAGGGTGGCTGGGGCGAGCACTGGGCTGGCTGGACCTGTAGTCTGCTGCCAGCTGGGAGTTGATCTTCTGACATGGTAGTTGACTTCTGACAAGTCTTTACCAGGCAGAATGATGAGACTATGCAGTGAAAGACAAGGTGGATGTTACCAGGGGAATACAAAGAGGAACAGCAGTGTTGAAGTCTCTGAGGTTTTGTTACTTCCCGTTCCCTGACTGACGCATGGAGACTGTGAAAAGCAGCATTTTGTGCATGACTGTTCGTAACAAGTTGTTTGTTGTGTGATCTCTTGCAATGGTATGGTGCATGGATAAAGCCTAAATGCATTCCTTAGTGTGCCTTGCAAGCTCTAATTTTGTCTTGTTTGTTTTTCCCCCATGAAACAGGATGTGGCAGCGTTAGAGAGCCAGCCTTTACTTGGATTCACAGTCAGTGAAGTAAAAGATGAAAACTCAGAGTCCAGAGTGTTCCATTTACTGCACAAAAACACTTTATTTTACATATTCAAAGCAGATGATCCCCATTCAGCTCAAAAGTAAGAAACTCTTTGAATTCTCTGCTACTTTATTCTAGAAAATGTTTGAGAGGTCAAGAATGTTACAGACTAAGCACAGGTTTAAAAGTGGTACATTATATAGTATGTAAACAAAGCTTTTAAATTACATAAACACAAGGTCCTGGTTTCATTAGGACTTCTGAAATGCTTTAAATAACGGAGCAAACTGTCCTCTGCGAAAAAATGAGTCTAGGAGAATGGAAAAGAAGTCTAAGATAAAATAAGAAATCTTTCTTTTTCCAAGCTGATTCCTCTATCCATGGTCTGCTCAAGTGAAAAGAGAATGTTACCTTCGGAGAAATCCAGAAAATGTGTTTTGTGAACTAACTGATGTGTCCCTTTTTTTTTATTTCCAGCTGTAAATCATAGTTATTTTTAATGACTAGATGGCACTGACAGACAAAGCAAACCCTAAAAAGCAAGGGAGAGACCTTTGAGGTGTGTGTGCAGATGTGCCTGAGCAGTCAGGCATGCTTCATACATTGAGACCACAGGCTTCCATTCAAAGAACACACGCACAAGCTCTTCCGTTTCAAGTCCTGCTGCTCTATCTGAGTTTGGAGTCATAATTATCAATTTACGTATTGTGTGTGGTTTATATAAAATAACCTAGAAGCTTGGTCATTAATCAGCAGAAAACATTTTTTATTTGAATCAGGGAGTAAACTAGAAATGGGCAAGGAAGCAGTACATTTAGTTATCTTGCTTACATGCTTAGCTTCTCTGACTGGTTTCACTGCAGTTTTCCCAAGTGAGTTTTACATTAATAAACCATGTTTCCTGCACTAACTAGTCCATTATTAATACTCAAGCATTCAAATGGCTGCAGGTACAGTGTTGTGCAAATAGGGCTATTCTAAAAAACAAAGTACCCAGGAGAACTGAAAATTCGGAGCAGCTGAGAACGTGTTTAAGGACACTTCTCTACACACAAAATCTGGAAGCCTTTATTGGATTTTTGGGGCTATTTTTTCTTGCCGATGCACACAAATGTTTCCTTGTTAATTAAAATAGTGTTCTCTTGTTTCCACTGTGTCCTCCCTCATTTGTACTATATAAAACAAAACTAAAAAAATCCAAGGCATTCAATAGCTCTGTTTGCCTATTCAGACAATAGCTTTTGTCATCAGTAGGAAAACTTGAAATTGGACGTACCCTGTTGGTTCCCTGTTTGGGAAATTGGACGTGAGGCTGGGAATAACATGAAGTACCTGATGCTGCAAGCTTTCTCCACGTGTTTAATATTCTTAGGAGATTTATGCTGAAACTGCAGAATAAATGCTGCTTTGACAGCATTAAAAGAAAAAACAAATAACGTGCTGTTGGCCTTTTTATCAGTGGACACCATTTTTTTTTCCTGTTGGGGCCAAAGAAATATGTGATGTATTTGAGTAAGTACAGTAGTAAATTTTAACAGATATTTACTTTTCTGATGAGCTTTGAAATTTGTCAGTCCAGTACTATATTCAGTGCTTACACTGTTTATGAATTTGTTGTATTTGTATTCCATTTTAGTTATTTTTAATGAATATATGGCAGTGGAAAATAGAGTGAGCTCTATAAAGTAAGGTCCAGAGGTTTGAGTTGTGTGTGCAGACAGCCACAAGCACTTACACGTGCTGAATATGTTCGTACCGAAAGCTTAAATTAATTAATTCAGAGAACATGAATTAATTCATTAATTAATTTATTCAGAGGACATGCATGCGCTTACCAAAGTAAACACTGAGGGCAAGGAAGAGCCAACATCTGTGACTAACACTTAGGTACCCTGTGAATACTAAGACAGGTCTGAATTTCTGTGATAAAGATAATTTTACAGTCTGTCTCATTCAGTTCTTGCAAGATTTTAACTCGGGGGGGCGGGGGGGGAAATCGTCAGTATGTGGGCCCCTTAACTTTAAATGTACAGAGTTCAGCCCTCACTCAGAAGCCAGAATTATTCCATTTTTTACCTTATTTGTCAGGGTAGCACTGGAGTGCTTCAGAAACATTAATTTTCTGCAGCATCCTTGAGAAGTTGAAGATGTTTATTACCTCCATAATTAAATCAAAACAAAAATCACAGCTATGGGTGTAAAAGTATGTGAATATCAACTTTGAATTCCTGTTTTGAGAGATGTCAACTCTTTGGCCCTTCCCCACCCCTTTATGTATACTTGTATTTTGCCTGGTATATTGTGCAGGGTATCTGTTCGTGTGTGATTCGGTAGTAGCACGTACCGTGTGTGTGAATACAGGTAAGTTCTGTGTCATCAGGCAGGGGGAGCATCCCTCCTCCAACCCAGCCCGTTTGCCCTGCGGCTTCCTCCCTCAGCCCCACCGGTCCTTCCTTTACCCACTGGTAGAAGTGATTTATGCTTTTACCAGCAACTTCCTAACAGTGTGTCATTTTCTAATAGGTGGATAGAAGCTTTTCAGGAAGGCACCATATTATAGCAGTGTCAGCGTCGTGCCTGTGAGTTCAAGGGAAAATGTCCAAGGATGGTGGTAAACAGGGAACAGCAGCCGTTGAAGAAACGGAATCCTGCCGTTGCGGCCTACACAAAATGGTGTATTGGTCAGGATTAGGAGTTGTTGCATTTTTAGTGTAAGGTAATATTTTTTTAAAGAACTGTGTGTATTTCTGTGTTGATACAAAATGTGTTATTTATTAAATTCCAATGTTTACTTTAATGGTCAGAATTATTTGTGAGGCCTGCAATGAGGTCCCAAGCGCCCATGTCTTCGGAATGGCAGGTGGTTGGTCAACATACTCCTAAAGTTTGTGCTTTTTAAAAAAAAAGAAAAAACCCAAACCACGAAACAAATCTGTTGCAAGTGTGCAGTTCCACATGATTTGTGTGTAATTGTCGAGTTGCTGATGCTCACTTTGCAGTTTAGCAAGAACAGATCAGAACAGAAGTTCAAAAGGTCTGGCGTCTTTGCTGGCTATGGGAACTCCGTTATGAGAAGCTGTGTAATATTGCTGCTCCTTTCCTTGAAGGGCAGTTGAAATCTTGTGTACCAGTGCATTCAAACTGTACAAGTTCTGTGTCAGAGGGCAATTGCGAAGCACAGCTCGATTATTAAAAAAGAGAAAAGGGAAAAATATTTTAAAACAGACTTTGCAATTACAGACTTAAGGCATTAGAGCTTCTACAGTACTACAGATGCCAAAGAGACTAAATGAGTTCTCTTCAAACACCTGCAGGATATATTTTCTTTTATGTTTCCAGTAGGAATTTAAAGCAGAGTAAAAATCACATTTTTTTGATATACAGGGAAAAGACAAAGTAGCTGATGTGTTTCAAAACTTGGTGTCGCACATGTTACGTAGGCAGTATGAAACACTGTATCAACTATTGTTCAAAGAACGTTAAACAAATATATGCACCCCTCTCTCCCAAAATGTTAAACTACCGTATATTTAAATATTATGTCTAAACTGGAATCGCCATACCAAGAAACCCCAGCTTTGTTAGTGCAGGTGGCATTGCAATGTGTACCAGTCTTTGAAATACTTTGTTTACACTATGATTTCTTCTGTTGGACACTTTAAAACACAATTCAGTCTCCGGTGTTTGGGGTGTTTTTTCTTTAAGAAAATTGTCAGTATACCTCATTAGGAAATACTTACTGATGATTCTGGTGCATCTATTTAACTTTTGAAAATTTTTTAACACTGTAATAGCATTAAGTGGAACTAGAACTATGAAGAACACATGCTAGGAAGCCATTTTTATGTCAAATGCATATGTAGCCAGTTAATTTTACTGTATGAAACACTTTTCAGAAGTCCTCTGAATCAAGCTCATTGTGGTAAGAGAATTAAGAGGAATTCACTTTTAATTAATAGATGAATCCATGTTAATAGCTGTTCTATGGCCTCACAACCGAAAGAGAATAATTGGTAGTCATGACAGAAAGGTCAAGAATGAAAATACACCAAAATTCTCTTAATCCCTCAAACCCCTCAAGCTCAGGTCTGAGATAGTAACGTAGCTCTGAAGAAGCTTGATTTTCCAGAGCTGCTGTTAAGTTAGCAATGGGCTTGGAAGCCTAATGCTTAATATTAAGTGTACAAGTACTTTCACCAATTTCAAGCATTTCAGTTGAGTACCTTTCTGAATCAGGGACTTAGGGCTGGAGATGTGGCTTTCCTCATGGACATCAGATTTGACCTGATAGCCTGATCAAAGCCTTTATTCTTTTATTTTAACACACACGTGCTAAAGGAATATTTTTTTCTTGTTATATATAAGGGCTTTTAATTGATTTTCAAAACCAGCTGCTGACTGAAGCCACATAAGCTATTAGTGTGTCTCTTCAGGGTGATTTCTGACATGGCTTTTACTGTATCCAAAACAAAACGGATACCAGTGTAACACAGATGCGATGTGGCTCTTCCAGTTGATATTATCAAAGGGAAAAGCTTCTTAATATTTTTGTAGGGACTGCACACCAGCCGAGATGGAAAGCCATGAACTGGCAGATGAATCAGAAATTTGGCTAGGAGCAAGGTGTTTGACTCTCAATTAGAGTTTGGCATTGATCTCCCTGCTGCACAACAGAGCAATAAAAGTTGAAACGCACGTGGAATAAGGTGCCCAAGTTCTGCCTCATGTGTCGTGTCAAACTACCTCTCAAGGATTTGGTGCAGAGTGAGAAAATAAAGTGTTCTGTAAAAATCAGAGGACTTCTTCCAGAAGCAGCTAATAAATGGAAAAACCCGTGACAGAAACAGATTAGAACGGAGCCTTTAAAACAGTAGTACAAGTACTGCGGGCTGTGTAAAATAAACTGTCCTTATAAACACGTTTGAATATTTCTCTTCCTCTTTCTCCAGCACTAGTGCTTTGTATCACACGAAGAACCCCCAACACAGGCAGTTTCATAGCATTTTCAGATGGTTCCGTTTCAAACTCACCCTGTTTCTCCAGCTCGCCTCCCGTTCTGTTTCGTTACCGTCAAAAGTATTCGCTTCTTGATTTGACTAAACACTAAAACAAGACCAGAAGGTTTTAAACACCTGGCTACCTCTTCTTATAAGAATCTATAGTTAATAATTAAGGTTGATTAGTAGAGTATGAGACAAACTTTAGCAATGAATATTAGTTCTAGCATCTTTAGTCTTGGATAAATGAAAGGTTCCAGGATCCTGAATTCTCTTTAACTTAAAACTATCTTGTGCCCAAAGGACTTAAACGAATAGCTTGAGCAGTTGTGGAACACCGTTTTACTACACGTTTTCTGTGTGTGGAAATTTGATTACTTGATTATGCATATTCCATCATAACATAGAGACATTTGGAAAGACACATTCAGTGTGTTTGTTTGCCGGAACTGCTGTCCCCTGCATGTACCGTCCAAACAGGCTTTTATTTGGAGCAGTCCTGAATTGTATTGTCTAAATGAAAGAATAGAATCTTTATTTTGTAAATGAAAACAGTTTAAAGTTGTTGTAAATATTCCTGTGGATATGTATCATTTTTGTATAAATAAATTCACATTAGTTGAGTCTCTGTCGGTTTGGGGTTTTTTAGTATTTTCAGGTTTTTGTGTGTTATGTAATTTCTGTAGTCATCGATTTTTTCCAAATGGCA